GGGGGATGTTCTCAGGCTCATCTCTTACACTCCGGCTGTTTGCCGCCATCAGAGGAAACCCAAGCACAGGTTTCTCTCAGAATTACTCTCATGGCGTTTTACCGCAGCTCCTCGAGTGACTCCTGCGGTGAGCTTGTAACGGCCTGTTTACAAGAGTAAAACCGGCGTCCGGGGTGGGGGGTTGGGTTGGGGGGGGGTGCGGGTTCAACCGAGAGGAGCATGTGTATGAGAACGAGTATTAAAACTTTGATGATGCTCCAGGAAGACTCGAACCCCGTCGTGATTTCACACTTCTGTCACCATCAGTCTCACACAAGGGCAGTTTGCCAGTATAGAAATGCTCGGGAAAGTGTGAGCAGGAGGTGAGAGCAAACTGAATCTGAAGAGACGGGACAAGGATCGTGAGCTTTAACTACAGCTGAATAGGTCATAATGGTGGATTTGTGCCTGGTTAGGCTGACGGGTCTGAACCGATGGGTCACATGTTCACTGCCCTCTCCAGACGGGGACCCAAGCCCAGCTGTTACACCCTCCCCTAACCAGGGTTTGGCGTGCAGCCGTCTTGTCCAGAAACACTACTGCCAAGTGCAAAAACAAGGGAGGAATGTAGGGGGGGGGTCTGTCCACCGGGGCCACTCTGATGACTATGTCAGTGCATCACCCACCAGGACAAGGCATAATTTTCCATGACTTTTCTGTGTCGTGTTCTGGGGCTGTCATTTCTCAGTGGTCCAGGTTACTGCCTTCACCCCTACGGCAAGATGGTAGTGAAATCTGGTTTTAAGCTGAACCTTACAAGAGTCGCCACCTCCGCTGTAGTAACACTGAACGATTGTGTCATTTCCCTAAGAGCTTTGTCCTGGGCAGCACTGCAAATTCAGAAAATTGACTCCAGTGTTATGTCTTGTCATATCAATATCACAATTATTGTTAAAAGTGATAAAGGAGGGGGGCAGAGTGCATTTGAACATAAAGGTAATGATTTTATTACTGTGCTTTGCGTCTGGTTTCCTGTTTTGTTCGTTAGGTGACATGACAGCCAGGCCCCATGGCTTGATTGGCCCCTTCATTGGTGCTGTCGGTTAAATGTGTTTTCCGTTTTCTCCTTTCTTCATTTGGACCGTTAATAACCAAAACCCGCCCCATTTCCACATTGAGTCAGCACCTTCACCTGGTTTTGGGGTCACCCCTAGGTCACCGGTTGCCGGGGTCTAGGAGGAGAACGAGCAACGCCTCGTGCCCCTCCCTCATTGTCCCCTCCCCGATGAATGCCAGACACCAACGTCAACATCAGTTCAGCGATGAGTCTTTGGGAGCTGCCTCGGCGTTCAGAAGAGTTGCAGCACACGGAGTTTCGGTGGACCGCCTCACGTGAGCGTCATCCTTAAATTAGTGGGCGACACAGCGGGGATCCTACACATGCTCTCCCTTGGCTCGCCGATGAGCTAGGCGTGCAGCAGAATCGGACAGCCGTGGTGGAGCCTCCAGCGTGTGCGGACCGCAGCCACCGATGAAGAGTGTTGACATACTCCAAGACGGTTGATCTTCTCTGTGTGGGAAACCACCAATAAATTGTCTTGTGTCCGAATAGGTATGTGGTAGAAATAATGTACAATTCCGCTCGAATCTCTGCGAGCAACCAGATATGTTTGTTTGAGCGAGAAAGTGATCTGAAATATTTGTCTTAACGCTGTCCCCTTCCAGAACTTTTCTGTGTGAATTTCACGCTGAAATTTGAATGAATGAGTCTGTTGTTCCGAGCACCGTGGTTACAGTACAATTTCGAATGCCGCACAGTTTCCTGTGCCTTGGGGGAGGAGTAGGAGGCCCCGCTCAGCTTCTGCCTCCGAGAGAGGTCAAAGGTCATAGCCTTGGTGTGCATTTGCCGTGTCGGGGGTCCATGTATGGCCGCCAGGTCGACGCTCGCATTATTGGGACATCGCCGGCAGAGTGAGCCGCCCTGCCCCGCTCCACCGCGCGTGGTTTTTCTGTTCTTCTTAGCAAGCGTAGTGACGCGAACGGGGACGGAGGGCGGCTGTGGCGAGGCACGTGGTGGAGATTTCCATCTGAGCACCTTGCCAACCTCAGGTTTCGCTTCAGGCTGCCGCCCGCGCTGCTGGAGAGCACTGTTGGGGCGTGGGTTGCACACACATTCGCACTCACACTCTCACTCTCATCAGTCACTTATATCGTTCCCCCCCCCCTTCTGTCCACAGACTCCGGATCACTGGTGGCTGCCTGAACAGGCTGGACGGGTTCACCCACTCCCCGCCCTGCGTTGAGCTCCGTGAGACGGGCCGCTGGCCGGGCCATGCCCTCAGCATCTTCCCGGCGGGAGGAGAAGCGCCGCTGAGAAGCCTTGGCCACACGCTGCCCGTGCCCGTCGGCGTCACGCTCGGAGGTGGCGATGCCCAGCTAGAGGGCCCGGGCTCCTGCGTGCTTCTCACCCTTTTCCATTCATTTTTGTCTACTCTTAGTATTACAGATACTGCTTGAACTCTGCTCGCCGTTCTGCGGGAGCCTGTGCACTTTTAGGTCGGAATAGTGCTTCCTGTTCCGTCGGCCACCTCTTTTGGGGAGGGGTCGGGGGTTGGTGTGACCCCCCCTCCCCGCCTCTGTTGATCAGATTTTGCAAGAACAGTAACGAGAGGGACGAGCGCGGGCGGACCACCCCTCCTTCGCTTCCCCTCCTACGCCCCCCCTCCCCCTCCCCTTCCTGTTCCCG